GAGACGGAGTCTCCCTCTGTTGCCCGGGCTGGAGTGCAATGGCACGATCTTGGCTCACTGCAACCTCCACCTCCGGGGTTCAAGTGATTCTCCTGCCTCAGCCTCCTGAGTAGCTGGAACTACAAGCGTATGCCACCACACCCAGCTAATTTTTTGTACTTTTAGTAGAGATGGGGTTTCACTGTGTTAGTCAGGATAGCCTTGATCTCCTGACCTCATGATGCTCCCACCTCGGCCTCCCAAAGTGCTGGGATTACAGGCGTGAGCCACCGTGCTTCACCAGATTTTTTTTTAATGTGGCTTTCTCACTTACAACAATCCAGATTTAGCTAAGAGCATTCCCAAATAATGTCAGTTTATAGTTAAAAACAAGGCAAAAGACTGAGACATCTGTTCAGACACAAGAATCAAATTGGTGTTGAAACTTAAAACAATGGGGATCTCAGCCTCAACCTAAACTCTTCTATCCCAATTTCCAGGAGAATTAATCCAGATGACAAATGGCTCCACTAATAAAACAAAAATGGCACAGCCTGGTCATATTTTTATTAAATAATAAGACCCCTTTTTCTGATTTGAGAAACTCTAAGACTTTGTCCAATGTACCTGACTTCTTTAAATGTATTAAAATTTAGGACTGGGCACAGTAGCTCACGCCTGTAATCCCAGCAGTTTGGGAGGCCAAGGCAAGCGGATCACTTGAGGTCAGGAGTTCAAGACCAGCCTGGCCAACATGGAGAAACGCTGTCTCTGCTAAAAATACAAAACTTAGCCAGGTGTGATGGCTTGTGTCTGTAATCCCAGCTATTCAGGAGGCTGAGGCAGGAGAATCACTTGGACCTGGGAGGCAGAAGCTGCAGTGAGCCAAGATCCCACCACTGTACTCCAGACTCGGCAACAGGGCAAAACTCCATCTCAAAAATAAATAAATAAATAAGAAATTGGGCTACGTGTGGTGGCTCATGCCTGCAATCCCAACACTTTGGGAAGCCAAGGCAGGCGAATTGCTCGAGCCCAGGAGTTTGAGACCAGGCTGGGCAACATGGTAAAACCCTGCTTCTACTAAAAATACAAGAATTAGCCAAGAGTGGTGGCATGCACCTGTAATCCCAACTACTTGGGAGGCTGAAGTGGGAGGATCGCTTGAGCCTAGGAGGTCAAGGCTACAGTGAACTATGATCTCACCACTGCACTCTAGCCTCAATGACAGAGTGAGACATTGTATCAAGGGGAATATTTATTTATTTAAATAATATTCCTCTGTACTCAAAAATGAGTATCTTCTTTCTTATCACCATCACTAATAACACTTATTACCAATTTCAGGACAAGACATCCTGGCATCTGCTCATTATTATCAGGTCACTATGACATAATATATTTGGTAAACAATAGTAAACATGAATCTGGGAGAACAGACCTAAGCACCAAACAAATCAATGTAATTAAAGAAAAGGAAGCGAGATAAACATTAAAATAATTTAAAACGTCTGGTTCAATCTGATCTCTAAAATGTGCTACTTGTACAGTTTAATGGAAATTAGACTCATTTGCTATCTTTCCAATAAGCTAATTGCTATTTATAGTCTTGATCCTAATAGTTCTTTAGATTGTACCAGAATTTTGCAGAATTATCTTGTTAAAAGAAGTGAGCTAGGACTCACAAATATCATTACAGAATATAGAAATTTCTCCTTTACTGTTTGTTATAATTAAAAATAATCTGTAACAGAGGCTTGTCTTATTCAATGTTTTTACAATGCCCTTCTAGCAAAAATGCAAAGAATGTTATAATCATTTAATCCATTCATAATGTAAACTAAATGTGAAGTGGGCAAATGAAGAAAGAAATCCTTCACATAAAAGACGTGGAATAAATCTGAAGTTATCTATGAATTTACATATACAAACAGAAAAACCAGTATACAGAAATGATTACTTGAGCCTCAAAGAAGAGCTATAGCTCAAATCCATTACAATCTGTCTAGGATGTTTACTATGCCATTCTAAGTCCTTTAAAACTTGTTTAAGATTTTAAAACCTCCTTAGAATTCTTCACCCAATTTATTTGAAAAAGCTCATATACGCACACACATTAAATTTTTTTGGCTAGGCGAGATGGCTCACGCCTGTAATCCCAACACTTTGGGAGGCTGAGGTAGGCAGATCACTTGAGCTCAAGAGTTTGAACTCATGTTGCTTGGGCAACATGGTGAAACCCCATCTCTAATAAAAATATAAAAATTAGCTGGGCATGGTGGCACATGCCGGTAGTCCCAGCTGGGACTCACTGCAATGTCTGCCTCCTGGGCCTAGGAGTGATCCTCCCACCACAGCCCCCCGAATAGGTGGGACTACATGTTGGGATTACAGCCATGAGCCATCAAGCCCAGCTGATTAAATTCTTTTTTCCCCCCAGACGAAGTCTCACTGTGGCCCAGGCTCCAGTGCAGTGGCTCAATCTGGGCTCACTGTAACCTCTGCCTCCTCAGGTTCAAGCAATTCTCCTGCCTCAGTCTTCAGAGTAGCTGGGACTACAGGCACCCACCACCATGCCAGGGTAATTATTTTTAGTAGAGATGGGGTTTTGCCTTGTTACCCAGGCTGGTCTGGAACTCCTGACATCAAGTGATCCACCGCCTTGGCCTCCCTAAGTGATGAGATTACAGGCATAAGTAAATTATTAACAGGAATTTTCACTACATTCTATTAAACAATAAATTAACCTAAGTCTTAAGTCATGCCTTTATCAGTAGCTCACATATTTCATTATCTCCCCTAACAATTTCAATGTCAAGGAATATATTACTGTCCTGTTCACTGTGAGCATTAAGTGTTCTTAACTAGAAAATAATGCACCCACCCATAAAATTTCAGGGAAGTGAGAAAGGTCAAGTATCTTTAGAAGTTCATAACATAGGTTCTAAATTAAGAGTCCCTGCTCTAAAGAGAAGGGATATCACTCTTGTAACCAACACTATTGTAAACAATAGTAACAAAATATTCCCTATACATATTGGCAGAGAAACATGGTACCAAGTGGGTTCTTGCCTTAAACCAAAAGAAACTCCAAGAGCCAGGTGCGGTGGCTCATGCATATAATCCCAGTACTTTGGGTGGCCAAGGTGGGCGGATCACAAGATCAAGACATCGAAACCAACCTGACCAACATGGTGAAACCCCGTCTCTACCAAAAATACAAAAATTAGCTGGGTATGGTGGCCTGCGCCTGTAGTCCCAGCTACTCAGGAGGCTGAGGTAGCAGAATCACTTGAACCTGTGAGGCGGAGGTTGCAGTGAGCTGAAATCATACCACTGCACTCCAGCCTGGCGACAGAGCAAGACTCTATTTCAAAAAAGAAAAAAAAGAAACTCCAAGAAAAATAAAAAGTCTAAATAAAAACAAATCAGAAGATGTGATTGCTGCACAACACTGTCAATGTACTAAATGTCACTGAACTGTTCACCTTAATGTGGTTAATTTTACGGTATGTGAATTTCACCTCAAAAAAAAATCACCTATATATAAGTTTATCTCATTAAATATATATAACGAGATACACTTAATCTCATGCTAGATATGGACATAGCCAGAGTTTCCAAAATATAGGATAGCAAAAACTGATGTCTGCATTAGAAGTTACAGAAAAAGTATACAAAATAGAGCTCGAGAAAAAAAAAAAGCAAGTATTTGCTGAAGTGCCTCAAAAATCAAATTGCTTCTACGGGGGGAAAAATGTTCCTTCAGGAAAGCCAGAGAAATAAGCAAAGCCATGATAGAATTTGAACTCACACTACCTTTCTACCAGATCAAACCAGACAAGTCACTGGCTGTTCTGGGGATTTATGGTATGGCCTAAGGACATTGTTAAACCAACAAAGCTGTCAAAGTCAAAGCACATAATCACTCTTACTTGCCCTGACCAGAGTGTGATGTCACTGCATTTCAGAAAAGGCCTCCCTTCGCAGGATTATATATCCAGGTTTAACATAACCTAGTTTCTACCAAATATAGATTGTGAAAGTCCCTCCTCTCCTGTACCTACCTCCAGTTTCCCAAAAGAGAGCAGCAAAATTAGATTAATACCTTGGGTAGAATAAGGTCAGAAAAAAATTAATACGGTCTTAATTCAAATGGCTCTTTGGGAAGCTAAATTAGTTTGTAAAGTCACTAAACCCTTCTATTCACAAAGCTGGGCTTTACACAGTTCAGTGCTCATAGTGAAAAACGAGCCAAAGTTAACCAAACTGTAAGGCAGAAATGTCATTCCAGTAATCTTTTATTATGAAAGGTGTCAAATTCATTTTGAATCAAATATTCAGTAATGATGCAGACAACAGCACCATCAAGTATTATTTTGCTCATAAGAAATTATGAGACACAAAAGCTAAAATCACCTGTTATTTCTATTTAAACATAACAGACTACAAAGTAGCTTCTTAATATTACACAGAAGGAAAGAAGTTCAAAAGTTTTACATCTAATTCTTAACCGAAATAACGTCAAACTCTGGAAAACTTACGCCTGTAAGGAAAAAAGGACAAGAGAAAGGAGAACGTGTCCTATTTAATATATTCCTTGCTCAGCTTGGTTCAAACCTGTGCCTAAAAAGCTAATATTTCAAAATATGGATCTTTTAAGGAAAGAAAGAATGAAAGAACTGGACTTCCTTGAGTCTCTTAATCCATAGTCACAATATTAGATTTATATTGATTTTACCACCCAGCGTTTAGTGAGGCTGTTTGCATTACACATCATCCTTTCTGCTTCCTTCAACGTTTCAACGGCTAAGATACTTGCAAAACAGTTCTCACCTTACCCGGGCGCTTAGTCATCTCTGGAATGTGTTACACGTTTTCTTATAGAGCTGCACCGCCTTCATCTAAGAGTTTCTATTACTTTGTAAGCTTATCCTGAGGCTAAGCAATTGAAGTATACAAGGACGGTAATTAATAATTTAAATTGATTCTCATTGAGACCACCTTTCTTAGTCATTGTGCCTTTATCAGCTTAATGCTCTTTCTCTTAAACCACAATGGTTATGATAAGTTTTCAAACACTTTTCTTTTCAAAAGTGAAGTTTGGCTGGGTGAGCTGGCTCACGCCTGTAATCACAGCACTTTGGGAGGCCGAGTCAGAAGGATCGGGAGGATCGCTTGAACCCAGGAATTCGAGACCAGACTGGGCAACACAGTAAGACCCTGTCTCTAAAAATACAAAAATAAAAGTCAAAAGTTTAATGAAGCATCTGCGAGAATTCAATAAAAGCCTGTCCTCCCATCCAACCCCTCCAATAGAAGACTACTCTGAAAACAAGCAGCATGAACACATTATTTGGATTCAAATGATAAGGAAAGAACAGAAAGTTCTAGTTTCTTTACTTCCAGCTTAATCTACAGCCTTTCCCGAACCAGACCATTCCTGCAGAGCCCCCCCAAAAAAATTCTGGGTTAAGACGGGTTAAGATTTACCCCCATTTGCTTCCCCGTCTCACATCGAGTAAATTCTGGAGGTTACTCCTTCCTTCCTCCAAGGGTCACAGTGAATGCCTCTTCTTTCCCCAGGTGGTCAAGATTCTAGTGATTTGCACCTCCATTACGGAGCAGTGAAGAGACGACGTTCGCCCATCAATGAGCAAAACCTTTAAGGGAATCCCTTTTCCTTTGCTTGCTGGACACGTTCCAGCCTCTCAGTGAACGACGCCGAGCGGGGAGGAAGGAAAGTTCCCCCCCCACGGCCTCCAGGCTCTATCGGCCACACCCCTGGCCTCCGGCCCTCCTAAACCCTGAATTCCTAAACACATCTTCCCCTCATGTCCCCAACTACCTGCTGCCACACACGAGGATTCCCTCACCGCACCACAGCCACCATGGTGGAGACCCTTTCTCCAACCCTTTTCCTAACAACGGTCACACCCGACGGTTCCCTGTATCCTCAACGGTCACGCTCTTAGGATTTCCTCGCTTCCGCCGGTCTCCGATCCCAGCCTGGGGTTCCCCTTCTCTCTGTCCCCAACCCTGTCAATTAGGGACACACCCCAAATGCAGCCGCCCTGAACTCACCGGAGGCGGAGGCGAAGGCGAGGGTGGGGGTGGCGGCTGCAGCCGGAGAGCACAGCCCGAGTGGTGGTGTAATGGTTTCCTGCCCGTCACGATTCTTTTCTAGGTCTAAGTCACTGCGCAAAACCCACTTTGCCAGGGACAAAGATGGTGGGCAGGAAGCTCTGACGTCAGATAACGTCGCCGCGCAACGTCATCGGGGTGCGCGGGAGTTCTACAAAGGCGGGGGATCGCTGCCGCCTTCCAGACCCAAAGATTTCCCTTGGTCCCTGCAAAGCTGGCCCACTTGGGCCTCAGAGGATAAGCTGCTACTCCAAAGGGATTTATTTACAAAGCTGACAGTGGATTTGTTTTCTCGCACAGAAATTCTCTGAAAAACGTAAACATAGAGATGATGAAATATCGGCCGGGCGCGGCGGCTCACGCCTGTAATCCCAGCACTTTGGGAGGCCGAGGAGGGCAGATCACCTGAGGTCAGGAGTTCGAGACCAGCCTGGCCAACATGGTGAAACCCCCGTCTTTGGGCCGAGTGTGGTGGCGCATGCCTATAATCTCAGCTACTCGGAGGCTGAGGCAGGAGAATTGCTTGAACCCGGCTGAGGCGGAGGTTGCAGTGAGCCAAGATTGCGCCACTGCACTCCAGCCTGGGCAACAGAGCGAGACTTTGTCTCAAAAAAAAAAAAGAAAGAAAGAAAGAAAGAGAGATAATAAAATATCTTGTTCCTTTCTGAAAAAAACAAAAACAAAACCCTCTCAGCTAATTTTCCTGCCCGGCTCAAGAGTGGACAATGGTGATACAGCCTAGGCCTATATGTGAGCAGTGGAGCTATGGGATAGTGGTGCACCGAAAAGAGTTTGAGGAGGCATTGGATGTGAGTTTGAATCCCTACCATGAATGTGACTGGGAAGGTTAGTCTCCTCAACCTTCTTATCTGTGAAATGAAGACAATGATACTCTCTCGGGCATGTGAAGCTTAAAGCAGATAAATTAGGTAAAGTGCCTAGCATATAACAGGTGTGCTTACACAAAAGTAAGTTTCTTTTGGAAACTAAGACCTAGACCTAGATTCCCGGACCTGGAACTGAAGAACAAGATTGATGAGGTTAAATGAAACTAGCTGTCCCTAAAGTTAATTTCAGGATGTGAGGAAGGATGGAGAGCAAAGTGATGATTTATTTTTCTCACATTTGCCCATTAACTCTGTGAGTCAAAAAGTGTCTAAGCAGCCGGGCGCGGTGGCTCAAGCCTGTAATCCCAGCACTTTGGGAGGCCGAGGCGGGTGGATCACGAGGTCAAGAGATCGAGACCATCCTGGTCAACATGG